AACGGATTATCAAACCTTCACTTCTCGTTATCTCAGACCGTTTTAAAAAAATAAGTACATTGGAGTACGCCATTCAGCCCCTCAAGCCTGTTCCACCATTCAAAACTCTTTGCCTATATACCTTATTACCTTTGCTTAATAAACATTTATCTATTTTAGATTTAAAATTAACAGCTGATCCAGATCCACTGCCATTTGAGGAAGACAGTTCCAAACAACTATCACCCTTTGAGTGTTGAAGTGCTTCCTAACATCTCTCCTAAATGGTCTGGCCCTAATTTTAAAACTATGTTCCCTAGTTCTAGAATTCCCAACCAGCGGATATGGTATACCTTTGTCAACCATGTCTTCTACTGTTAATACCTTGAAGACTTCGATCAGATTACCTCTTAACCTTCTAAGTTCATGAGAAATTGGCCTAATTTGCTGAAGTCCAGGTCTCATTCTTGTAAACCTATGTTGCACTCCCTCCAAAGCCAATACATCCTTCCTAAGTTGTGGTGCCTAAATCTGCTCTCAGTACACCAAGTGGAATCTAACCAGGGTTTTGTATAATTGCAGTATAATGTCTGCATCCTTTAACTTCAGTCCTCTAGATATAAACACCAGCATCCCATTAACTTTCCTGATTATTTTCTGCACCTGCTCGGGGCACTTTAATGATCTATGCATCTGAAGCTCTAAGCCTTTTTGAACATCCACTGTATCTAACTTCATCCTTCTAAAAGGTATTCTGATCAATCACTGATCAGACCAAAAATCGATAAACTCACATATGCTCACATTCCACCTGCCATAGTTTCGGCCATTAATCTCATTTACCCTTTGTAATTTTGTGCTATCATCTACACTATCTACGGTGCTGCCTAACTTTGTGTCACTAATAACGCATTGTACCAGGGAGTTAAGCACATGTATATAGCCTTTTCAATCAGTAAATCTTCTTATTCTTATATCCCTCAGTAAAGTACAACCAAGGCTTATTGCTTAACTATAACAATAAACAAGACTGATAGCATATCATCCCTAATATCATAGTCTTAAATCTAGATTATACTAGGAAGAACCAGATTGTACGTGACAGCTCAGCCAGCAAACACACCCTGGAGTGATACTTGATACTAAACAGGAAAGTCCCATGTTCAATCATCATTCTGTAGTGACATATCTCATCTCAGCTTGATTCTGACAAAAGGTCACTGACCTGAGATGTTAATGTTTTATCTCGTTTCAGTTGCTGCCTGACTCACTGAGTATTTTCAATGTTTTCTGTTTTTATTTCAGATTTCCAGCATTTGCGGTACTTTGCATGCATTTTGACTAGTTTTGGTGCAGCTACAAATGGTCTCATATCAGTGGATTCAGGAGCAAAACAAGACCAAGGTGTACCACAAGAGTGCAGGACAATGCTTGCTTGCGGACCTCAGACGAGGACAAGACCTGGTGTCAATCCTATATGATGCTTGTTGAGACACAACATGCCATGGAAGCAAATATTTCTATTCTAGCATAATGTATGAATAGACTTCCATCTATATTAAACAATTGTTTGCACAACTTGTAACCATTCTCTATGCAATACAATTCTTTGATACCAAAGTCAAATTGTGCAGATGTTGTTCAACCCTTAAATAAGGATGCTTTCTGTGAACAGATTGGAAGTGGTGGGGTTCTTCTTCTTAAAATGGTCAAGAGGAAATTTGGTGCTCAAAATCACTAGGGATCTAGACAGCAAAGATAAAGCGAATCTGCCCATTGGCCAAAGGGTCAGGAATTTAAGCCTGTGATGAGGAGGAATTTCTTCTCTCAGAAGGTTGTGAGCCCTGAAATTCCTTGCCACAGAGACCAGTGGAGGCAGACTCCTCGTGTATATTTAAGACTGAGATAGGTGGATTCTTGATCAGTCTGGAAATTAAGGATTATAAGGAAAGGACAGGAAAGTGGACATCAGTAATGTCAGGTCAGCCATAATTCTATTGGTTAGCAGAATAGTCTTGTGGGGCCAAATGGCCTGCTCCTGTTCCTATTTCTTATGGTTTTATGGAATCTGATTACATCAATTAAAGGTAGAAGAATCAAAGGCAACAAAGGAAAATCCTTTTCATCCGGTGAGTGATTAGTCTCTGGAATGCACCACCTGAGGGTATGGTGGAGGCATTTTCAATAGTGGCTTTCAAAAGGGAATTGGATAATGATGTAAAAAGAACGGAATTGTAGAACTGCAAGGAAAAGACATGGAAGTGAGATTATCTGAATTTCTCTTGCAGAGATCTGGCACAAACACAATGAGGCAAGTGGTTGTCTTCTGTAACTATTCTATGATTTTGTCTTTCAATTGTTAGATCTATTGGCTGTTTAAGAAATTGAACTGTCAAATTCACAGCTCCACCAGCTTCCAGTAAACCCATTCTTAAAGTATGCTGCATATTTAATTATTATTAATGCTGTTCCTTAAACATTAATACACGCATCTTATGAAAAATACCCTGGGTTCATAGTTTCAACTGTTTTCTAGACTGAACTTGCACAAGGAAAGCCCTTTCAATATAAAACTGGTAGTCATAGAGTCGTACAACACCGAAACAGACCCTTCAGTGTTTACTTTAAATGGGATTATAATGCTTTCCTATCTCCAGTTGTCTGATCCATCTACTTATACTACACTCAAGGCAGAGACTTGTTAATGTATAGTTCAATTAGCCTGGAGATCCTAGAGCAAATTGTCCAAATGTCCATTCTTCATGTGTAATGGGCATCAGAAATGGCCTTTTGGCCAAATTCCTGAAGAACATATCTACCAGTCTGGGCTCAGGGCAGGTGATGAGAGAAGCCATGAGGAAAAGCCCTAGTGTACCTCATCACCAATCCACCTGACACAGATGCATCTGTACATGACTATTTGTAGGAGTGAGCACCATAGAGTCCTTCTAAAGACAAAATCTCATCTTCACATGTTGTGTGGTGTGACTACAGTGCTAAATGGGACAGACTGAGAACAGATCTAGCAGCTCAAACTTGAGCAGTCAATAGAAACTCATGGACATTAGCAGCAAAATTATACCCACTACACCCTATAACCTCAAGATCTTGTATATTCCTTAATCCACTATTATTATCAAGCCAGCGTATCAACCATGATTCAACAAGAACAATACCAGCTATACACAATGAAGTGACAAGTTGGTGAAGATACGACACAGGACCATATGCATGTTAAACAGCAGAACCAGCATATAACAAACAGCTAATCAATCCCATAAGTCTATAGTTTTGTTGCGAAGGATGGTGAACAATTAAATAAGTAATGGGAGGTGGAGGCATGATGTTGAGGCAAAAGACAAGGTTTGAAGTGCTTACAAGTCTTCACCCAGCAATGCCAAGTGAATGGTTCATCTCAGACTCTTTCTGAGATCCCATCATGATTGAAGTCAGTCTTCAGCCAATTCAATTCACTCCACACAATTTCCTAGCTTCCCAGCAACATGCCCATTCCATAATGAAATTACATTTTTAAAAATTGCCAGCTTTTGACTATACATGCACCACAGTTACGCTCAATTCTTGCAATATGATCAATTTCCAGCTCTGGTAACTGGATATAAGTATGAAAAAGAAACCTGGCTCCTTTTTAACTCCCAACTCAACAGCAAGGCCACTTATTTCGCTAGTTCACAGAGACCAGGACCAGACTTGAATAGCCTAGCACTGTCCCAGTTCATGGGCCAAAGATATTTCAAGAATATTATTTGACAGAGTGTCTCAGAATCAAACTGTCTAGTGATAGGTCATTAAACTATCAATACTCTTTATTGTGATCGGTTTTAGGGGTAACTTGGCTCTATTGGCTGGTTTGCGTAGCAGAGTGATGCAAACAGCATGAGTTTAACTCCTACACTGGCTGAGGTTACCATGGAGGACCCTCTTTCTCAACTCTCCTCTCACCTGAGGCGTGGTGACCCTCAGGTTAAACCACCAGCAGTCATCTCTCTCTAATGACAGTGCTGCCCTATGGTCTGCTAAGACTATGGTGATTTTGACCTGATTAGTTTTCAAATTACTCAAGATAGACTACTCAATCATATTCGCTCAAAATCTTGGTTCAAATCAGATTTTACAAGTAATCATACATTAACATGTCAAAATAATTAGCTCCCCTTATTGAGGTAATGAGTAGCTGAGCTTCAGAGGACAGGAAGATCAATGGCAAGGAAGGATTCTGAGGAAGGGTCACCAGACCCGAAACGTTAACTCTGTTTTCTCCTTCACAGATGCTGCCAGACCTGCTGAGCTTTTTCCAGTAACTTTGTTTTTGTTCCTGATTTACAGCATCCGCAGTTCTTTTGGTTTTTATTTAGGAAGATCAGTGGATTGTGCTAACTTAGCTAAACTTTAGCAAGATTATCAGAAACATCCGAACAGGGCGAAGAAAAATATTTAGACCGTCTCAGCTGCTAATTACTGTCTAGTGACATCTGGTGGAAACAGCTTATGTCGATGCTGGGTGAGCCCAAGATCTAGGTTGGCTGTGATGCCCATTGCCCTGGCACCTGCCCGATTAGAGTGAAATTACCAACAACAACCTGTTGACATATATGTGAAGTTACCACTTTGACAAGATACCAAAGGGCACCCAGTAAAGAGCCATTTTAGCACCAGTTACTTCAGAACACAAGAGCCTGAATTTGGTGTTCCAACTCCACAATATACACACCACCAAACCCAACTCCCAACAAGCACAATAATGGAGATTTATAATTATTTCACAAGCGCATGGTACTCTAGACCATTCTAAATTGGGAGTGAGGTGAGGAATCGAGCCACAAGAATTACTTTAACATTACTGCTTATAAAATATAACTAGACCATGACAACTAAAATTGTTGCTATTATAGATTTCAAACAAACTCCCGCGATTTTCGAAAGCTACATTTTTAAAGGATGTCTTATTTTGACTTCACTCCAATGGTCAGGCAAGAGAAAGAAGGGGTTTTCACGCTAACCTTGGGCTGAACTTCTCTTCCTTAATTTCAAATTAAGGTTCTCTGCTGCTTCCCCAGCGGCGGCGCGCAGTGACAAGGCATGGTTCCCATCAGCTGGAGCCTGTGAAATACAACCTGCTGCTGAGCTGAAACTTCGGAGGAGGGACATGAGCTTTCCAAAAATAACACTGACAGAGAGAAAGAGAGGGAGGGGGGGTGGAAGAAACGAACTGTATCACAATCGCTCTGTCCAGAAGAAGCCTGGGTCCATCAATCGCGCCTTTCCTCGTATCCCGAAAAGCTTCAGGAAAATGTACAAAAAAAGAACAAACACATGGAAAGTAACTGACCGAGTGGCCTGCACTTCACTTTTCGATGACAAGCAAAACTTTCCACTGCAGGAACCACCTTGCAATGTCTTGGCACTCCCTCTAGCTGTAACCGGGTTACAAATGATTTCACTCTCTCCCACCCCAACTCCATGTCCATTATTAACACGTTTATATTAGTAATGGGCGATTCCAAAAGCCCCCAAAAATGCAGATTTGGAAACCTCTCCCTAACCCACCCCCCAATCCAGCAATTTGCTTCACTGAATCCGTTTCAAACGCCAGTTCGCAACAACAGAAGGCGTTTTCAGTTTTAAACTTCAACTTAAACTCTTCGAAATCCCTTTAAGAGGAATGAAACTTCAAGGCTGGTGCTGCATCTTCCGCCGAAGCGATCTTTATAAGGAAAAGCATTGTGATATAATCCTTAATGTAAAGAGACAGCAAAACAAAAAAATTGCTTTGAGCAAGTTTGCATTGAGCTGGTAAGAAATATCAAGTGCACAATTTCAATTGTTGAATCGCACCGTGCCAATCCGACTGCATCTGATGCTCCTTTGCCTCCTCAGCTCGTTCAAGAATAAACTGAAACCCAGTTCCCAGAAATGAACGTTTCAGTCTTCAGGATGGTACAATTAAAACTCCCGCCTTAAAATCCATAACCAACAACCTGCCCTGGACTTCCCACATAGATGGCATAGTCAGGCAGCTCAGGATATTTGGCATGTCCCATAAAGGACCCTCGCCAACTTTTAGAGATGCATTATTGAAAGCATACTGTCAGGGGTACATAGCATGGCAACTCATCTGCCCAGGACCATAAGAAACTACAGAAGGTGGTGTGCACAGCACAGACCATCATGGAAGCCAACCTCCCATCCACGGACTCCATTTACATGGTTTGTTGCCGCAGAAATGCTGCCAACATCATCAAAGACCCATTCCACCCTAGTAATGATCTCCTCCGATCTCTTGCGTCAGGCAGAAGATATACCTGCTCCAGCAGGTTCAGCACCGGCTTTTTCCCTACCATTATTAGACTGAAGAATGGACTCCCTAACTTCAATTAATGCTGAGAGATAGTAAGAAATGCTGGAATCAGAGATAACTCAGTGTGGAGCTGGAGGAACACAGCAGGCCAGGCAGCATCAGAGGAGCAGGAAAGTTGATGTTTCGGGCCGGAACCCTTCTTCAGAAATGGGGGAAGGGGAATGGAGCTCCGAAATAAATAGAGAGGAGGGATGGGGCAGGGGAAGGTAGATGGGATAGTGATAGGTGGGTGCAGGTAGGCAGTGGTGGGGATTGGTCAGTGAGGCGGGAGGAGTGGATAGGTGGGTGAGAAGACGGACAGGTCGAGGAGGCAGGGATGAGAGGGAGGGTTGGTCATGGCATGAGGCTGGGGGTGGGGAGATTTTGAAACTGGTAAAGTCCACATTTAGACCATTGGGCTGTAGGTTCCTAAGGCAGAATATGAGGTGCTGCTCCTTCAGTTTCCAGGTGGCATCGTTGTGACACTGGAGAAGGCCCAGGATGGACATGTCATCCAGAGAGTGGGAGGGGGAGTTGAAATGGATCGCGACCCGAAGGTGTTGTCATTTGTCATGAACAGAGCGTGGTTGCTGTACAAAACGGGCTCTGAGTCTCCGCTTGGTCTCACAGATGTAGAGGAGGCCACATCGGGAGCAGCAGATGCAATAGACCACATTGACAGATGTGCAGGTGAACGTCTGTCTGATGTGAAAGGTTTTTTTGGTTCCTTGGATGGAGGTGAGGAGGAAGGTGTAGGGACAGATGTTGCACTTCCTGCAGTTGCAGGGAAAGGTGCTAGGAGTGGTGGGGTGAGTGGGGAGTGTGGAATGGACGAGGGAGTCGTGGAGTGAGCGGTCCCTACGAAAGGCAGATAGGGGTCAGGAGGGAAATATATCTTTGGTTGTGGGGTCAGATTGTAGGTGGTAGAAGTGGCAGAGAATGGTATGTTGAATACGGAGGTTAGTGGGGTGATATGTGAAGACAAGGGGATTCTGTCTTTGTTTTTGTTGCAGGGAGAGGATGTGAGGGCAGAGGTGCAGGAAATGCAAGAGATGCGGTCGAGAGCATTTTTGACCACTGGAGGGGGGTAGTTACAGTCCTTGAAATAAGGACGTTTGGGATGTTTGGGAGTGGAACGCCCCATCTTGGGAGCAGACGTGGTGGAGACGGAGGAATTGGGAGTAGGGAATCGCATTCTTGCAGGAAGGTGGGTGAGGAGGTGTAGTCTAGGTAGCTGTGGGAGTTGGTGGGCTTGAAGTAGATGTCGGATGAAATAGATGTCAATTAATGCTGATCTTGCTAATGTTGATCTTGCCTAGCACATGCCCTAAGCGATGTCACCTGTCTGCCTCCAAGCTTATTTTTCATCCTCTGATCTGTATATCCTTGCTTACTTTGAATAAATCTGAGGATTGGGAGCAGTTTAGAATTCAACAAAGAAGGACCAAGGGATTGATTAGGAAGGGGAAAATAGAGTATGAAAGTAAGCTTGCAGGGAACATAAAGACTGATGCGAAGCATTTCTATAGGTACATGAAGAGAGATTGGTAAAGACAAATGTAGGTCCCTTACAGACAGAAATGGGGGAATGTATGATAGGGGACAAAGAATTGGCTGAGGAACTGAATACATACTTTGGTCCTGTCTTCACAAAAGAGGACACAAATCAGAAACCAGAATCGTTGGAGGATGCAAGATTTACTGAAGGGAAAGAACTGAGGGAGATCAATATTAGTAGAGAAATGGTGCTGGGAAAATTGTTGGGATTGAAGGGCGATAATCCCCAGGGCCTGATAATCTACCTCCCAGAGTACTTAAGGAAGTAGCTCTAGACATAGTGGATACATTGGTAGTCATCTTCCAGGATTCTATAGACTCTGGAACAGTCCCTGCAGATTGAAGGGTGGCTAATATCACTCTAATATTCAAAAAGGGATGTAGAGAGAAAACAGGGAATTATAGACCAGTGAGCCTAACATCAATCATGGTGAAAATTCTCGAATCCATTGTCAAAGATAGCAGAGCATTTAGAAAGCAGTGGCAGGATCAGACAGAGTTAGCATGGATTTATGAAGGAGAAATCATGCTTGATAAATCTGTTGGAATTCTATGAAGATGTAAATTATAGAGTTGACAAGGGGGAGCCAGTCGATGTGGTATATTTGGACTTTCAGGAAGCGTTTGACAAAGTCCCACATACGAAATTAATGTGCAAGATTAAAGTGCATGGGATTGGGGGAAGTGTATTGAGATGGATAGGAAACTGGTTGGCAGAGAGGAAACACAGAGTAGGAATTAATGGGTCCTTTTCAAATTGGCAGGCAGTAGCTAGTGAGATGCCACAGGGATCGGTGCTGGCACCCCAGCTATTCACAATATATATTAATGATTTTGATGAGGGAACAAAATGCAACATCTCCAAGTTTGTAGATGATACCAAGTTGGGTGGGAGGGTGAACTGTGATGAGGATACAGAGATTCTTCAGCATGATCTTGACAGGTTGGGTAAGTGGGCAAATCAATGGCAGATTTACTATAATTTGGATAAATGTGAGGTTATTCACTTTGGAAGCAAAAACAAGAAGGCAGATTATTAACTGAATGGCTGTAAATTGGGACAGGGGAGTGTGCAGTGGGACCTGGGTATCCTTGTGCACCATTCGCTGAAGGTAAGCATGCAGGTACAGCAGGTGGTAAAGAAGGCAAATGGTATGTTGGCCTTCATTGTGAGAGGTTTTGGGTACAGGAGCAGGAATGTGTTGTTGCAGTTATAGAGGGTATTGGTGAGACTACACCTGGAATATTGTGTGCGATTTTGGTCTCCTTTTCTGAGGAAGGATGCTCTTGCTCTCGAGGGAGTGCAGCGAAGGTTTACCAGGCTGATTCCGGGGATGGCAGGCCTGACATGTGAGGAGAGATTGACTAGGTTGGGATTGTTTTTGCTGGAGTTCAGATGAATGAGGGGGGATCTTATCGAGACTTATAAAATTCTAACAGGACTGAACAGGGTAGATGCAGGGAGGATGTTCCTGATGGTGGGTGTGTCCAGAACCAGTGGTCACAATACGAGGATTCAGGGTGAAGAATTTGGGATGGAGATGAGGAGATATTTCTTCACCCAAAGAGTGGTGAGCCTGTGGAATTCATTACCACAGGAAGTAGTTGATGCCAAAACATTGAATGTATTCAAGAGGCAACTAGAAATAGCACCTGAGGCAATGGGATCAAAGGTTATGGGGAGAAAGCAGTATTAGGCTATTGAGTTGGACGATCAGCCATGATCGTGAAGAATGGCAGAGCAGGCTCAAAGGGCCAAATGGCCTCCTCCTGCTCCTATCTTCCATGTTTCTATGCTCTGCCTGTACTGCTCGTAAACAATGCTTTTCACTGTACTTAGGTACACGTGACAAGAAATAAATAAATCAATCAATCCATCAAAATAACTTGTTTATACATAGTTCCTTAAGTGAAGGAAAGTGAGCTAAGACACCTCCTGTAAACCAAGTCAAAAATAGACACTGAGCCAAGTTAGGTCATCGTTAGGACATATGACTGTTTATCTGTATATAAAAATATTCCAGGAGATCTGAAATGAAACCAGAAAGTGCTGGAGAAACTCATCTGGTCTGGCGGCATTTGTGGAGAGAGAAACAGTTAAATTTTCCAGTCATACAACACAGAAACAGACCCTTTGGTCTAACCAGTCCATGCTGACCATAATCCCAAACTAAACTAGTCCCACCTGACTGCGCTTGGCCCATATTCCTCCATACATTTCTTATTCATGTATTTATCCAAATGTCTTTTAAATGTTGTAACTGTACCTGCATTCATCACTTCCTCCGGAAGTTCATTCCAAACACAAACCACTCACTGTGTAAAAAAGTTGCCCCTCATGTCTTTTTAAAATCTTTCT